GACGTTCTATTTTAATTTTCAGATCATTCATCTTGAAAAACAAGACAACAATACTGAATGAGAAAAATATTTTTGCAGTAAAGTCATCATATTTGATGAAAGCAAGAAAACAAATGAAAACAAGACTCAGAGGGGGAAAACGTCTTAGTATGACATCAACATTATAGCTATTGTGTACAAGATTTCAGCCCTGGTAAAAGGGACAGCTTTTTTAATTGCTGGTCGATATAATATAATACATTAGACAAACATTTTTGAAAGATTCACCTCTCATTTTTTTTTCTGTTTATTTTAATGTTGAGCCCAATCTAGCTGTATGAACCCTCTAATACAGTCCAAGCAGAGTGGTTTGAAAATTGCACTTTGCAGTTCATTCCTCAACAATAACCTCTTAGAGTGCAAGGTACTGGCCAAAATGCCAATGCAACCAATCACAGAATTAAAAGTTCAAGTACCACAATCATAGTGTTTTCTTGACTGATCATTGCTATAACTTCTAAAGTATTCATGCCGATCCCCAGAACAAACTAACACCGGCATCCAAAACACAATATATGCTGGTGACCTTTTCAGCAGGATAATTTGAGAAAACAACAGGCAAGTATTAGTTGAGTAACTTTAATGACTTTGGACATGCAAATACAAAGATGTTTAGAGCACTTGCCTTGTTTATGAGTTCCCCAATCATGCCATTCCAAGAGCCATTGGGGAGCTGAGAACCATATTTGCTGTCTGCCACCTGGTAGATATCATACTTGAATCCTAGGATCTTGGCCAAGGCATCCAGGACATCAATTGAGAAGCCTTTATATCTTTTGGGCTGTCCGAGGATGTTCTCTGCCACCATCACAAATGGATCCTCCTTTGAAGAGGAATATTGATTACCAAAAGGTACAAACAAATTTTAAATGGTTAATAAAACTTGCTTCAAGACTTTCTATGGCTCCCTGGAGAACCCTTTCTGTAGTAGATGCTTACGGGTCTGGTAAAATTATTACAATTAGATCACATGGAATAAGTACATTAAAAAGCAGAATGTTTCCCTCACCCATGCCGGTAAAATTAAGCATCTGAAAATGAAGTCTACTGAAAATTATTAAAAAAAAAATGGAGAATAGTTGTTTAAACAATATCAATTTTAACACGTTGTGACAGTTTTAAACAGAGCTGAGAGTGCTACACTTTTATTTGCGATGGTAGGCATGATCATAAGCTAAAATAAGTTGTATGCAAACATGCAAGGGCTTAGGGGTGTGTAGAACTTTGTGAATGAGGGACGTTTCAATTCTACAGAAATCTGCAGAGTTTAAGGGTTGCAGATTCTGTGCTCTGATAAGTACAAGAATATCTAGTACTTAAGCATTGACCGTGAAAAAAAAAAAACTGTAATGATTAATTATTCACACATGTATGCATCGCACCACATAACATAAATATCAAGTATTACCAATAACGTCACAACTTTAACTGTAACCCCCTGCATGCCATTCTCGATACGGCTCTCCTTTAGACTTCCATTCAGGCCATGGACAGAATCCCATGTAGCCAACTGCAGGACAAAGAAAAACAAAACAGAAACAGGTCAACATTAGCTTCGTTTATCTTCAATCTTTCTGTTTGACTTGGACAGTACATTAAGTGCTTATCATAAGACATATTTCCAAATGAAACAGGGTATTTATATTTACAGGAAATAAATAAATAAGGCAAGACTTGATCCATCAGAAATTGATTGGCTGGTGAAAAGTGGTTTCATTTTCATTCCAAGTTTAACTTTAACATAAATCTTGAAAACTCAGTCAAAGTGTAAATATGTAAAACCATTACAACATGCATAACGACATGCATATTATGTGTGCCACAATATTATGAATAGTACAAGAAAAAATTCAGTTGCCTTGAGTTGAAAATTAACTAAACTGAAAATTATTAAATTAAATTCAATTATGTTTCGGTTTAACACATTAACATAACTCATATATCAGAATCAATATGTACAATCCACATTGACACTATAAGCGATTAGTTATCAATATCAAGAGCTACATTTAATGACTTGATTTGGAAGACTAATCTCATTAATCATTAATTTAGTCAAATAAGCAGGTGATAATGAAGGTTAATAACATCATTTAACAATGAGGACCAAACTCATGGGGGCGCCAGCACCTGTCAAGGGGGGCGCGAGAATCAGTTAATTCAGAGATGTTCCCTTGAGAATTTATGAATATGAGTTAACAAATCTTTAGCCATCCACTAGGGGGCAATCTGACTCCCACTGCTAGTCGACAGTTAGAGCAGAGTTGGCTCGAGTATCAGTCACGCTCAGTGTTGCCAAGTCCGCGGTTTTCCCGCGGAATTCGGCTACTTTAACACTTGCCGTGTTTTGTAGTTTTGGGCTAGTTTTGAGTAGCAATTAGGTGGGTTTTGTTGTGAAAACCTGGCAACCCTGGTCACGCTTATTGACAGTGTATGATTTACGATTAGCCGTGTCGGAAATCCAACCACGGATTGGCATGTTGTTATCTCAGAAACAGGCTCAGCCATCACATTGAATCAGGTAAACTGGTTATATATTTATGTTTCAGTATAATTACGCACGCTATACCAGGGGCGGTTCTAAGCCCTTTTTAGGTGGGTTTCAGCCCCCCCTATCGGTCACCTTAGCCCCCCAAAACTATATTAACAATCAGGCCAGTGCTGCTTCCTCGAGAAAGTTTTTCATTCTCACATGTTTTAAGTCTTGTCAGTTTAAACATTAAAGTAATTTTAAGCCATTTAAGCCCAAGACTTCTCAATACGGTACTCACGCACTGTGATAGAGCATTTCTATGCGCACCGCTCACACACCTGAAGTGCACAAACAGATAGCCTTCTCAGACAGCAGGTGAATACCAATGGCTGTCTTGACAAGTATCCTTGTAAGCACAGTCAGTTGTTTTAAGTGAATGTAAACAGTGAAGAAAATATCAAATGTACATCAGTATAACGGGGGGCGCGAGTGAAATTAGACAAACTTGGGGGGCGCATGTCCTAAAAGGTTGAAAACCCCTGCCATAGAACATACTTAGAAATAAGAAAAATAATATTTGCATGCATGTATAAAGTAGCAGGCATATCCCTTTAGGAGGCACAGCATTTTCTATTCATTACTCTTCTACGAGGACAAGAACCATCTTGGTCTGGTTCCAGGTGGTGGCACTGGATCAAATTACAAAATGCATTTGATGACTGCATACTGCACCATCACTTTTTTCTTTAAAGCCAATACTTGGTGCCCTTAGCCATAAGATATTTCTTCATTAGAGTATGTACACAAACAGCCCTAGAGCAGGGGCACAGGGCAAAGCTTGTAATGTTGAAAAATTTATGAAATTCCTTATGTCCTTACTGAGCAACACTCTGAACAGTCACAAAGTGAAAAAAGACAAATGAAAGCATCTGTGAGTATGTGTGCTGGTGTTGGTGGGTTGGTAGGTGCTCTGTGTGAAGACTTGTCCTAAATTTAGAAATATACTTGTCACGATGCTGCTGCTGCTACTGTGTCGGATACGAGGAGACAAATAATATAGAAATAAAAGAATTTATTAACACACACATAGTACAGGAACCTAAGGACATTTAACACAAGGCACTAGACACAGGAAACACTGGGCTTATAAACACAGGGAATGTAATCAGGGAGAACTGAAACAGGTGGAGTAATGAATCAAAAACCATGGAAACTAATGAGGGAACGCCTGAAATCAAAAGACAAGGGAGAAACTTGATAATGGGGAGCACATGGGGATCAAAACCACAAGACATAGGAACACAGGGGAAGTCCAAGGGCGTGACAATACTGCCACAGCAAGAACATTATCTGCTTATTCTGTTTTAAATAATAACACTTTTAAAGTCCAAATCACTTCATTTTACTAGGAGCACTGTGTGAAAACTTGCCCTAAATTTAGAAATATACTGCCACAGCAAGAACATTATCTGCTTATTCTGTTTTAAATAATAACACTTTTAAAGTCCAAATCACTTCATTTTACACTGTTACAGGCTGAAAATGAGACAATATAGAAGTATACAGTGTGTGTGTGTTAAATATATATATATATATATATATATATATATATATATATATATATATATATATATATATATATATATATATATATATATATATATATATATATATATATATATATATATATATATATATATATATATATATATATATATATATATATATATATATATATATATATATATATATATATATATATATATATATATATATATATATATATATATATATATATATATATATATATATATATATATATATATATATATATATATATATATATATATATATATATATATATATATATATATATATATATATATATATATATATATATATATATATATATATATATATATATATATATATATATATATATATATATATATATATATATATATATATATATATATATATATATATATATATATATATATATATATATATATATATATATATATATATATATATATATATATATATATATATATATATATATATATATATATATATATATATATATATATATATATATATATATATATATATATATATATATATATATATATATATATATATATATATATATATATATATATATATATATATATATATATATATATATATATATATATATATATATATATATATATATATATATATATATATATATATATATATATATATATATATATATATATATATATATATATATATATATATATATATATATATATATATATATATATATATATATATATATATATATATATATATATATATATATATATATATATATATATATATATATATATATATATATATATATATATATATATATATATATATATATATATATATATATATATATATATATATATATATATATATATATATATATATATATATATATATATATATATATATATATATATATATATATATATATATATATATATATATATATATATATATATATATATATATATATATATATATATATATATATATATATATATATATATATATATATATATATATATATATATATATATATATATATATATATATATATATATATATATATATATATATATATATATATATATATATATATATATATATATATATATATATATATATATATATATATATATATATATATATATATATATATATATATATATATATATATATATATATATATATATATATATATATATATATATATATATATATATATATATATATATATATATATATATATATATATATATATATATATATATATATATATATATATATATATATATATATATATATATATATATATATATATATATATATATATATATATATATATATATATATATATATATATATATATATATATATATATATATATATATATATATATATATATATATATATATATATATATATATATATATATATATATATATATATATATATATATATATATATATATATATATATATATATATATATATATATATATATATATATATATATATATATATATATATATATATATATATATATATATATATATATATATATATATATATATATATATATATATATATATATATATATATATATATATATATATATATATATATATATATATATATATATATATATATATATATATATATATATATATATATATATATATATATATATATATATATATATATATATATATATATATATATATATATATATATATATATATATATATATATATATATATATATATATATATATATATATATATATATATATATATATATATATATATATATATATATATATATATATATATATATATATATATATATATATATATATATATATATATATATATATATATATATATATATATATATATATATATATATATATATATATATATATATATATATATATATATATATATATATATATATATATATATATATATATATATATATATATATATATATATATATATATATATATATATATATATATATATATATATATATATATATATATATATATATATATATATATATATATATATATATATATATATATATATATATATATATATATATATATATATATATATATATATATATATATATATATATATATATATATATATATATATATATATATATATATATATATATATATATATATATATATATATATATATATATATATATATATATATATATATATATATATATATATATATATATATATATATATATATATATATATATATATATATATATATATATATATATATATATATATATATATATATATATATTTATTTATTTATATTTATATATATATATTTTTATTTATATATATATATTTATTTATTTACAGTGGGTATAGAAAAGAACCACCCCCTTTAAAATCACATTTTGTTGCTCTGCAGCCTGAAATGAAGA